GCCGTGAGCTCCGTATCTCTTGCACATACTCGTGCAGTTCGCGTCTTCCTTGTTTACACGCGAGGAAGCGCGAACGCTGGCGGTACTCGTAGTTCGCCGGGAGGAACGCGGCTCGGAGCTGTTCGCACAGCTGAGCCCAGGATGTGAAACATCCAGGGGATGTCGCTTCCCGAGTGTACACCCAACTCTTAGCACGACCGCTAAGGTTGGAGAGTGCAAAAGCAACACGCAGTTGCTCGGTCGAGATCAGAGCCGCGTCCATCGCGAGCTCTACTTCTCGGACCCAGAAGTGAAGGTTCTCGCCTTCCTTCCCTTCATACGGCTTTACCTTCAGCCGTATTGGCTTCGGGTGAGGCGGGTTTGCTCCCGCCGCCGGAGCCTGCAGGTTCTCCCGCACATGCGCGATGAGGCCCTGCTCGTACGCGTCGAATGCATTGACGCGCTCGAGCTGCTCAGCCGGTGTTGATACCACCAGGCTCTGCAGGGCCTCCATCCCGAAGATGCCTGCCATCTTCCGAACCGACTCGAACTGAGAGTCGTTCATATGGGAGAAGTCGTTCCTATCCATGGCAACGAACTTCGGAGGTTCAGGTAGTCTACCCGCGATGGCGTGGATTGACTACAAGTGCTAGCAAGTGTGACGGGGTCACACAGCACCTTGCGCTAGAGGAAGTTATCTTCCGAGAGCATACAAACTCTCAGTGAACGGCAGTTCACAGGTCCCCTCTTTAATTAAAGAGAGCGAAGTGACCTAAATAAGGTAGATTGTAAACTGAGTATATTTATAGGTAGGTTAAGTTTGTGGTTAATACAAACTATCAGTTACCTATAGAAATGCAATGTCATTTAACCAATGGTTGGTTTTGAATGACCTTGGTACCTTGTACCAAATATCCCGGAGTATGACATGTCATACTCCTGAAGTGTGAAGTGTCACACTTCATGTAACCAGGGTACACTTAGTGCTACGTACCCCGTTACACATAGCGCATACTCTTTGCGGGAACTATTACCGTGGAGCTTAGCTCCCCGGTAATACATACAAAAATACATTTTTGTACTTGCCTAAAGTATATATTTATTCGATACAAATCCTTATGCTGTTCAGAACAGCATAAGTCCATTTAGTAACCCGTCCATGTCACCCCTCCGCGGGCAAGGGGTTAAGAAGTAGGATATTTGAACATTTTCTATTGGCTACATATTTGACCAATTAAAGTGCATTCTAATATGAAGCGTATTCATGTCGGCAGATTGTTTCCGCTTGGAGTCAGACCCGATATGGATACGGGGCAGCTAAGCCCCGTATCGGAGCTTGCCAAGCTTACGGTGCAAGTTGCACCCCAATGCTGTTGGCAGTCTGCCAACATACTGGCCCAGCGCGGTGAGCAGCACTTGCACCGTGCCTGCTCGATTACGATTTGCTACGTCTGACAAATCAATCATCTCGACGGTGCAATGCCAAGTCATGACGTTCATTCATCATTGTTTTTCTTAGAGCTTCGGGATTTCGGTGGGAGGGCTCCAACTTGGAGTTCAAGGAGTTAAACCACGTGCAGTACACGTGCACGGTGCACTGCACGGTGCGGTGCAGTGCAGTGCAGTGCAGTGCAGTGCAGTGCTTGCTCAACTGCTGCGACCACGCTGCATCCTCAAGCACTTGCGACTCACTTGCAGTCACATGATTCGTGTTCATTTCGCCTCGTCTTTCCAGCATAGAGGAGCCGGTGCGCTGCTCATTCGTTTGCGAAGACGGGCGGAGTGTTCGCCCTTTCACTTCCGCGGTCTACATGTATGAATACAGTATCACTCCTGTACAGTATTAATAGTTCATGTAAGCAGAAACCAGATCACCTGCGAACGGCAGAGTTTAGAACCCGCCGGAGCGTTGCAAGCAACGGGTTTACGCCACCGCCGTTGCAGCACCAAGCGCTGCTCATTTTGCCAATTGCGAACTCAGCCCAACTGCGCCTTTCGAACATCTGCCGTAAGACTCATCGGTCGTTGCTGGCACCACGTCGAGCGAAACTCATGCAAAGTATCACGAGCAACGAAGACGACGCGCGTCTCTTGGTGACCGCCACCATGAGGCCCGAAAAGCGGGCGCCCACCAAGAAGATGAAGCAACCCGACGCCGCCAAGAAGAAGAAAACCGGCAAGGTCCGCGCACTGTCGACGGAGCGCAGCCGCCAATGCCGCGAACGACAGAAACTGTACTCAGAGAATCTGCAGGCGGTCGTACGTGCACTGCGTACGGAGGTGTGCGACCTTGAGATCCTGCGTAACTTGCGCAACGAACAATGTCTACAGTTACGCGGCTCCGTCTCCGGATCACTCGCCAAGATCGTGCGTGAGTACATGACCGTATTCAGGCACGGCATGCCCGCGGCGACCGTGGAAGCCGCTATCGCCGGAAAGAAAAGGGCACTCGCTGTGGCCTACCAGCCCACCCCCGATGCGCAGTGTGAGTTTCTCAACTGTATCATGGACCAGTACGTTGAGGTTTTCGACTGGTGCGGCCGCTTTGTGCTGGGCGCGAGTACGCTACTCAACGGCTGGACGGCTTGGGCTGCGTGGCACGACTCGCTCAGCTTTGAGCTCGTGGACATCGGTGTCGTGGATACAGAGGACACTTTAGCTGTGACCACCAAGGCGAATCTTCGGGTACGCGTTTCGCAGAAGACCATCGAGCAGCTGTTCCCGCACGTTTTGGGCAATCAGCTCCTGTGCAACAAGTTGCTTGGCCAAGAGATCTGCTACCCGATTCGCGACACTTTCTTCTTCGCCTCCAATAAAAGGATCATCAAGTACATGTGCGATCTCGACTTAACGAACGCGCTGCTACCGATTGCAGGGGACTACGAGACTGTGCTCTATCTCATGTCGCCTCCCAACCAGGCGTCACTCAACGATCTCGCCGTGCGAACGTCGCCTGGAGACCTGGCTGAGAACTCACTTGACGTTGAGTTCCTGCTGTCCGAGGACGACAGCGCGATCGACTTATAGGAATGCCACGTTGGAGATGCCGCATGCTTACGGTACCATGTTTTATTTTTACTTTTTTCAAACAAAATCTGTAGCAAGCAGTCAACTGGGGACCTGTGGTGTTCATTCGATCCGGGTGGTCGAGCAAAACGTGGAACCTGCACTATAATCAAATTGGGGGAGCAAAAACACCTGCACTGCTCCTGAGGTTAAGTGCTCGTAAGCGTTTTGGGTTTTTTTTTTTTATTATTCGTCGCTCCAGTATATTAGCACGATTTCTGAAGGATCTTGCACATTCTATTGGTTAATAAAGGACAGGACAACGAAGTGCCATCTCGCAATTATCTACCAATCATACGGTAAGAAAAATCTTACCGCCACTTCAAGCTTGAATTTTGAAGTTCAAGATGCTCTACCGACATTTTATTAAGTCTTATTGCGCGGGAAAATTTAAATACTGCTACAGGGTGTCTCGGGCGACTTACATCACTACACGTGCCCTCTCATCCGTCGTTGGCGCCACTTTAGCCGTATGTCAGTCGGGACTTGTTGTGCCCCACTGCTGTCTGCCAGCGCACGACACCCGCCACCACCTCCATCATGAGATAGCGAAGATACACCATCGACTGGTTCTCCACACAGCCACCGAAGGTTACCTCACAAGCTGGGTCACCCTTGAGCGTCGTCTTCTCTAGGAACGTGTACCAGTTGAAGAGGTTCACGTAGTTACTCTCCATCGCAGCGAATTGCCGCTGGCCCTCGGACAGCGGAATGGAGCGGTATGTGATGAGGTATCCGCCGTCGATTTGACCACGCGCAATCAGCAAAATCGAGTGGTGCACTTTGTTGCCGTTGCTTACACTAAGTCGAACGATCGCGCAGTCCTCCGTCACGCGCTGCAGTATCTCCAGCGCCACCGTATGCGGTTGCATGTGACGGTAAAGTTTAAAGTCTGTGAGTAAGTTCCACGTCTTGTACACCAGCTCAGACGGCGGGACATGCTCGAATTGTTGCGAGAGCATGAACCGCAGTGAGCTGGCGTTCAGAATGCGCTTGTCGCTCCAGCCTAACACCTCCGTGTCCAGTGATTCGAAATCGCGCTCGGCACGGAAGGCCATGATACTTTCGTAGCTTTCTTTGACGCACGCCATAACGACATCAAGTGACAAGGGGCGGCGAAACAGCACACGTTGGAAGATGGGCGCTTCCACCAGTCGGTCCTCATTCGAGTCCACGTCTTCAGCGTCGTAGTGAGAGCCCGAGATCCCGGACGTCGACGAAGAGGCTCCGTATTCGGACAGGAGAGTCTGGTACGTACTGTTCTGCATATCATAAGAGTGCAGTTTCTTACGCAGCTCCTTCTGCTCCTGACGGAGTTGGTCAATCAAAGCGATGGTGTCTAAAAGCGCCGGCGACAACGATTCGAGTCTGAGTCTCGCGCGCTGCCGCTCCAGCGCCTCCATTTCTTCGCGCATCTGCAATATCCGCGTCTGAGGTTATCATAACGATCATGGCATATGAGCACGTGGAGGGGTCATACAAGTAAGAGCGTTGGGACCACTTCACTCACCTTAAGCGCGTTCGTGCGACGTCTCTCGTTAGCGTTGTGTCTCGAGCGACGCTGCTCGTCATTAAGCGACGCCGTGAGCCGCATCATCGGTGAGGCCGCCGAGGACTGGGACGCGGGGGGCGTGGGCCCAGAGGCCGCCGTCGTCTCGATGCTACACTTGGCGGACTGTACGCCGGTCGCCAGCAACTCGCTCTCAAAGATCTCAGCGCCGTCGAAGGCGTTCACGTTCAGCACGATTGGTTCACAGGTTCGTGGCGCCCAACTCATTCTTTCGCGGGGTTTATTAATAGTAGCAGGCGCCACTGACCAACGCGCGGCACAGACGCTTGATGACTGGAAACTTACGGTGTCCCTGAGAGGAATATCGTGAAGGGTGTAGCCAGTGCGTGACAATCATATTACATGATGTAAGCACACCCCGTTTAAGTGCGTTTCGGGTCTCGACAATGCGATGGCTATCGAGAACAAGTGAAAAACAGTGACAGTTCTATGAACAGCCGGGGGAAATCCACAAGATAGACAAAGAGATGCAGACGATTCTATTTGGTCATTAACGACGACTAGATGTCTCTTTGATCCTAAGCCTACAGTATAAACATCGCAGTGACTCCGGTACCCATACCACGATGAGAACTTGGACGCCCCAAACTTACCGCACTATTATACATGTACAATGAAGCGCCTTTGAAGCTGCGGCTGTAAAATGATTCGCTCGGCTACGTCTATAAACCAAAAAAATAGTAGAAGCAACATTCCATACTTTACTTTTATGATTATATTAGATATGCAAGATGTTTCATTTTTTAAAAAGTATAGCTTTTAAAACTATTTGAATAAAGAACTACGTAGCAGTAGGGACCGATCGTCGACGGTCACAAATGAGCAGCTTCAGTCGTTTTCGCACGTTGCTGCTGCCACTGGTCATATTTGTGCACCACACTATTTCGGTACAAAATGAGGATAATCTAGAATATTTTAATCCTGAAAGATACGGCACTTAATTTTTGTAAGATAATACGCGACGGAAAAATAGGTTTTGAGAGGGGGCCAAGCATGATTGGTAAGGTATTAAAAATCTACCAGCCCAAGGGGATTCGTCTACTAATTCTACAACAATGGAAAACCATCATAATTCTATATGCTGTCCCGTACCCGGGAACGGAGGGGTCATTCCAGGAGCTCTGCCTCCCGACGGATTGACTCGAGGCTCTGTAATTACTTCTCGTCCGGCCGTCCCGTCAGGATGGTTCCCGTTGAACCCGACAACGCACGTGCCCCTGACCGAGCCCGTTAAGGTGGTCCTATAAGGAGATCTCAGAACGCCGATGTCCTGTCAACGTGGGACCAAAGCACCTCGCGTCATCAAGCCCCCTCCCAGAGCTCCCCGTTGTCCCCCGAGGACTGGCGACAAACGAAGTGAATTCTTCTTTTTAGTATAAGAAGTAGTGTAGTGTATGTAAGGTCGAGAAGGTGTTAGACCTCTCTTCCAGCTAGCTCTCAGTCTTATATTTCCCTCCTTCTACTCAAGAGGAAGCCAAGCCAATGAACAATCTTCTATTTCTAACTTACTAGTGCTCCTATCTACCGTTCCTGCAGCCACTGAACAAGACCGTACTCTCTGAACAGCCGCGGACTACTCGACCCTTGAAGGAAGAGGAGGTATACGACATCTGGTGGAGAACCAGGGTAGTCTGCTTGCTGGAGAAGGTCTTGTTTCAAGTGAAGACTCGCGGAGAGCGTAAGAAGGGCGGACGAAATGGCGTCTACTAACGCCGGAGAAGATGTGAGTGTGGTGTTGGAAATCCCACGTGAACTCTAGCTACAAATGTAGTTAGGATGTTCCCACAACAATACGTCTACTAGGATAGTAAACGATCGTTCGGGCGGACCTGAAGACCCCAGTTCTGCCCTTGCACTGGGACAAACTGGACCTTGTAAACTACTTATATAGGCCAGCCAGTAAAAATAAGAACACGCTACTAGCACGAGCAAAGCTAGCAGGTGTTTTGAATCCTCGTGGTCCCAACAGCGGAAGCGTACCAGGCACGGGTAAGCCTTTTACGAGATCACCGAGTGTTCAACACTCGGCTGGAAGAAATAAAAGGGAGGCAATTCAAGCACTCCCAGTCGTGCAAATAGGCAACAAGAAGCCGTCACGTAAAACCCTCCCGATAGTAATCGGCCAAAATACACAGTCTCTTGGCCTTGCCGGATGAATCCTCGCTACAGAGCTTCGAGCTCGCCGACAGGCATAACACACTCAAACAAGCTTGACCTGACGCTTACCTTGAAGCCGGACGTCGCTCTGTGTGCTTGAGTGGAAATTCTGTTCTGTATTTAAGCTTACCCTTTCGGGTCTATTCCTAATAAGAAGTCCTAATCGAGTATACAAATATCAAGTGAACAATGATCCGTTATGGATCTTCTTGCATGCCAAGCGTCGTCTGCACCGTCGCATGAGCATCTTTAACGGTCCGCGCCCTGTCCCAGACGGTGAACGTGCCTTCCAAGGGTCGCTGAGTCTTCCGCGAACTCATCCCAACCGTCGCTGAGGGTTCGTACCGTAGATGGCCCGCTGAATGCGAATCTGGCCAGTCCATTACTAATACTAAAGACAGCCTGGATTCAGTGACATATGGACCGTATCCAATATCCGTTGAGGGTTCGGAAGTGAGAGCTGCCGATCCCTTGCACCTTGGCGTCACCGTACATCACATGACCGAGGGTTCGTCGCTTGAACATCTTGGGCGGTGCCACGTCTTTGTCGACGGGTGATAATCCGCAACTACGGAGAAATCACTACACCACAACTGCCCCTGTCGCAATGGAAGCCACGCTACTGGTGCCCGTTGTTACATTTCTTCATTCTTCAATTCACCATCTCGCCACCGTATGTCCAAGCGTCTGAATCGAGCCGTGTCCGACGTTTTTCAGCGACTCAATCCTCGTAGACGTCGCGAACGTGAACAGCTGGAGGTACGTCAGCTCATCCTTCTCTTGAATCATCGGCACCTTGCTCATCACCTCGCATTACTCGACTTGTTTCTCAGGAGGGCAAGGCCGAGGGCTCGAACGCCCCTCAGTCTGCTGCACTTCCTCCGACAGCAGCGTCATCAACCGGTCCTCCGGCGCCCGCTGCCCCGGACTCTTCACTCCCTGCGGTAGCTCCTGCAGCACTCCCCGTCGTCGCTGAATCCGCGGAGATGGCTCCTGCTGCTCCTCCTGCCCCAGCTGGTGGTCCGCCACCACTCACCGAAGATTCGCTGCGCGCGCTGCTGGCTGAAAGTACGGAGGCATCGGTCGATCACATGATGACCTCGATAATCCCGTACTTGACAGCAATGGCTCGTCACCAAGTGCAGCTCAGCGTTGCGCCTCCTCTCCACGGCGATATACACACTCAGCGTCGCCTCGAGACTGCCGTTGGTTTCGATGATGTCCTCGCTGCGATACAACCTGTTCCTGACGCGCTGTCGGCATTACCCGAACGAGTTGCCGACTTGGAGCGTCAGTTGCGGTTTGCTCAGTCCGAGGCTGCTGCCGCCGTACGTTCGGTGGCACCCCACATCATGGCTCGTGAGAACGCGGAGACATTCCTCAAGGCTGCCAACGCTGAGATTGAAGCCTTACATCACAACGTCAAGATTCTCCGCGAGTCGAACGCCAAGAACGACGCCATGCTCGCAAGTGTTCAAGCCACTATGGAGCGACACGCAGAGGATTTGAATCGTCTTCACTGCGAGGTCCAAGCTCGGGACGTCTTCATCAGCACTTTGCAAAAGAAGCTGGCTCGCGAACGCGAGGTGTACAAGTCTTCTATTGGAGCGAATACCGAGCAGACTCGGAAGCTTCACCTCCTTCTGGTAAAGCTTGCCCAAGGCAAGTACGTTGATAACGACACGCTTAAGGTCCTCGAGAACCAGCAAGACCGTAACACTCGCCTCCTCCAAGCGAATCGTACCCTCCGTGCACACGTGAGTCTGGCAGGGATGGATCCCGAGGTACTTCGTCTGGCTGTTGAAGGTACGCTCTTTAATGTCGCTCCTTCCACCGTGTGCTCAGCAACTAACGTTCGTTCACAATCCTTCGTGATAGGTCTGACTGCGGGTGAGCTGGACCTGGACGCGCTGGACTTGGATCAGGAAACGTTAGTTGCTTTGCGGCGCATCCAGTCTGCCACCGCGTCTTCGGACGATCCTCAAGCTCTTCCTGCAGCTTTGGCCAAGGCCGCTCACCAAGCGGCCCATGGGAAGTCCCATAAGCGTCTTAGACCAGGTGGCGAGGATTCAGACGACGAGTCGGAAGACTCTGACGAAGACAAGGCTCCAATCCCAACGGACAAGGCCAGTACTTCGATGGCAGCTGCCGGTCTCGGTGATGCGCCACCTGCCGATACTTCAACGCCCAAGTCTGCTCGTAGATCGCTGTTCGGCCCGAAGGCGTGGAAGAAGGCGACCCTGAAGAAGCGCAAGAAATCTCGCCCTCATTCTCCTGCTAAGTCGCCCCGACGTCATATGAAGACTCGGTCCCAGTCTGTACCGTCTTCTCCAAGTTCATGGTCGCCACCTCCTACACCGGCGTCTTCCTCGACTCCCGCCGTGGTCGACCTCAGTGGCGACCAGAGTGACGTGGACATGGGGACTGCTGATTCAAGTAGCGTCCCTTCGGTTCGAGAAACTGCTACAGAGCCTTCGGGTAAAGATGTGACCCCTGGGAATCACGACGATGTTCCCGATTCTCCTGACGCGCCTTCGCCTCCGCCTCAGGGTCCACCCGATGTGGCCGATCCACCAGCTTCAACGATTTCACCTTCTCCAGCCGACATACGTGCTGCTGAAGAAGCTCTGCGCGAGGCCGAGCAAATGCGGCTAATGTTTGGCTCAAGTGACGAAGGTGAAGAGTCGG